TGCAATGCTCTGTACGCGGGGTTGCCTTTGAAGACAGTCCGGAAGCTTCAACTAGTCCAACGAACGGCAGCCAGGTTGTTAATAGGAGCGGCACTCAGGGAACATACAACCCCCTTGTTGTGCCAGCTCCACTGGCTGCAGGTTTGCTACCAGGCCTAATTCAAAGTGCTGGCTTTGGCCTATAAAGCCCTAAACGGTTCTGGCCCAACTTACCTGTCCGAACGAATCTCCCCTTACGAACCATCGAGGACTTTAAGATCATCTGGGGAGGCCCTGCTCTAGGTCCCGCCTTCGTCACAAGCACGTTTGGTGGGGACGAGAGACAGGGCCTTCTCAGTAGTGGCCCCTTGGCTATAGAATGCCCTCCCTAGGGAAATCAGATTTGCTCCCTCCCTCTTGACGTTTCAGAGGCAAGTTAAAACGTGGCTATTCAAGCAAGCGTTTACAAATACAGAGTAGCTAATATAGAAAATCGAATGACCTGACAATGGAATTGGACAATGTTTGAGAATAATGAGACACTGATGATGTTGCTTTTATTGCTGTTGTGATGTCTTATACTGTTTAATGTTTTTTATCTATTATGTTTTATGTGTATACTGATTTGTTGGAAACCGCCTTGAGTTGCCAATTGGCTGAGAAATACATTAAATAAACACAGCAAATAAATAAATAAATAAATAATGTTTCATTCCAGTGCAGGACAATGGTAGTAGTGGCTATTTTGAGTGCATGTGCCGCGCTGGCCTTTTTAAGCCACCTGTTCATTGCAACTCCCCTCCACAATCCAACAATAGTTTAATTCATCATGCCTTAAGGGCAGTGCTGACGCCTTACTCTCAGGCCCTGTCTGAAGAGGAAACAAAATACTCTGGAAATTGTAAGCAGGGCTTTCAGCATTACCAAAACCTGCATGGCCATCAACATGTTCAGCCTGACCTGCAGCATGTCCCCTCCTTTGAAGGAGGAAGTTCAGTTGATTGAGTTATTATTGGAAAGGAGATGACACGTTCTACTAGGGTAGATTCTAATTCGGCAGTACTTTCTAGTAATGCCACCACCATTGACATTTGCAAGGCAGCTACCTGGACTACTCATCTTCCTTCATACAACATTACAACAATGACAAGTTCTGTGAGCAAATGCCACCTCCACAAGAAGGATGCTACAGGAGGTGGTTAAGGACTAGTATACAGTCACTTCCCTTCCTATATACCACATATTAAGGGCATGAGTTTGTGCCAAGTTGTGGGTATTCTTCCTCTCACCAATCCAAAGAATGCCACAATGTATACCTAGTATGAAGGTGCCTCCTGGGTTGTTGGAAAGGAATCTACCCTCACTCATTGTGGCTTCTGAACCTGTATCTTTGTTTGATAAGTTGCATCTCATAGTAAGAACAATTTTGCCTGTTTCCTAAAATCCCTTTGGGTGGGAAAGGGAGGAGAGTAATTTAGTCCAGCCTCTGCCTTCACCCATTACCAGTGTTTCATTTCTGACAGACTAACCTTGAGGGAAACTATCCTTGTCATAAAAATAGTTCTCCATCTGTTCTTATGCCTGTAAAAATACCCTTACTCATAGTTCAAACTCCCCATGAAAAAAGTATTGTTCTGTTTATTTCAGAGGTTCTACAAGGGCCACAAGTGGAGAATGTACTTGATCTAAAGTGACTCAAGAAGAATTGATTTTATGGCTTTGGATTTTTTTTCTCCTCTGAATCCCAGCTTAATGGAAAATTGGCTGGCCAAGATCTGTCCTAAGCTTTACTAATGTTTCAGGACAAAAATGATGCCTATCTAATGCTTCATACTTTTTAAAGAAACACACTAGCTTTAGCTGATTCAAAATAACAGATATGAGTAAGTATATAGATTATAGGAATTTGGTCACTAGTTTTTACTAAGTATGACTTTGCACAAGCTTCTCATTAAAAATTTAAGAGGGCTGTAAGGTGTGTAATTGTTGGAATAAAAAGCCAGTTTCCTTGCTACTGCTTTCTTGTACACAATAAAGTGGTTGCTAGTAATGTTACTGCATTTTGAATTTGTAGTGTTTGTATTTTTTCCCATTTGAAAATGGAAGTAAGAAGAAGTAGTAGTAATAGTTTATTTGTACCCCGCCATCATATCCCCAAAAGGACTTGGAGTGGCTCACAGAAGCACTATGAAGTGCCACACTCAAAACAACAATACACAAGCATATGAAGCAGTATGCAAATATTTTAAACTATTCCAAGTTCCAGGCTTTGTGAGGTTTCTGGCATAAACTCTCATTGGACTTACTCCTGCAGAATGTCAGTGCTTTGAAACAGCAGTACAGGTGGTGTTTGAAGAGTTATCAGTCACATCCTTTCTTCTTTTAAATGACAGGTGTGAAGTCATCTTGAAGAGAGGCATTTGAAGTTAGGAGAAATAATTTGAAGCTTATGTGAGATAAGAAGTTTCTCTTTAAAGCCATCCTTGTCCCATCCTCTCCCTTCCCATCCTGCCTTTGTACTCTTATTTCTGATTATCTCGAGTTCTCTTTCTCTTCTGCCTTTAAAGCAGAGTAGTAGAGTTCAATGCATGGACAATACAGTGCTGTTCTCTATAACACAAAGCAGAGCTTGACTGTCTGAATACATGATTTGAGTTGTCTTGGAGCTTTCAAAGCTATTATCTTTTAATAAAGACAGGATTCGATTATTACTGTATATAGATGGGCTCGTGCAAGCTCAATAGGGTAGGAGAGTGCAGAAATTGTCATGATAGGTTCGAACCATCTTCTGAAATGCTGCCAAGTCTTCCCTCATGATGCCTCTTCCTCAGCTGCTTTTCAGTTTTGGTTAGTCCCCTTCTAAAAGATCAAGACTGGGAACTGTCTTTCATGCACTAGTGAATTTAACATTGGACATTGGGCTGTTTTGTAATATGTTCTATACGAGACAGAATTTGAAAATGATGAGAAACCTCACCATAGATCTTGACAGCTACAGATTGGTTTTGAAACAGCTGCACACCAATGTGTTTCCAGGTGCTGTCATCTTCAAAACATTAAATGGCTTGGAATTATTTTAAGGAATGTGTTGTCTCACACCCACAATCAATATATACACTTGTTTTGGACCATCTGCCACATCATAGCTAGTCATTCAAAAAGTATTTCCTTGTAAAGCTCAGTTAAATACTCAAATTGAAACTTCTCAGTGTATATAATATATCATTGGTTCTATGTGTGAGATAATATCTTAGCCAGCAGGTATTCCCCTTCCTTCAGCTTCTTTTGCCATTATCTTACATCAATGATTAGTGATAAGAGTCTGTTTAAAACAGTGGTTCTCAACCTGTGGGTCTCCAGATGTTTTGGCCTTCAACTCCCAGAAATTCTAACAGCTGGTAAACTGGCTGGGATTCTGGGAATAAAACTGAACTCTGAGAACAGTTCTGATCTGCAGTCTGAGAATACTGTATGGAGCTGAACTTCTGTTTTCTTAGCCAGGAAAGCTTGTGTACGGAGGCTTATTTCTGAAGAAGCAGGCATAGAATTGAACTGCCTCTTCTAAAAGGATCAGTATGCAAATGTGCTACAAGACCTCTTTGCATATATACAATAAAATAATTATTATATTCTAGGGAACTTGAACGTTGTGTGAAAGGGACTCCACAAAACATTTGAAAGGAAAATCCTAGTATCACGTCATTTCCTTATAAAAATTACGTATTGTTTAAATAGCATAAAGATAAAAACGAGTGGGGTACCAGTTTTTGTTTTACAGGAAACAAAATGTTTTTAAAATCATAAACAGTGTATGTCACTAGTATCTGTGGTTGCAGAGATGCCATGTTTTGAATGTTGTGTCTAAGCGCATCCAGACTCAGGTGGCTGCAATATTCATGATCTTTTTTAGGTCAAGTTTGTGAACCTACAATATTAGGCTTCTTTATATTGAAATTCTGATGCATTTCAGAATTCTTTAGATAAAAGAAAACCCTCAGTAATTCAGTTCATTCTTCAGCTTTTGCTTTGGATAAGCAAGAACAGGCCTAAAATTGTTAAAGAAAAGGACATCCAGTAACTCAGGATTGTGTTGAAAAATAACTGTGTTCATTAGAAAAGACAAGGCATTGAAAACCATGTGCTTCACATGTATATATTTGTGTGTGTGTGTGTGTGTGGACTGGTTTGCAACCCTACTGAACTGCTCTTAAATTTGATTAGGAAGTTTTCTTTGGTACTGATCCAGTGAGATTCAGTCCAGGAAGGAGCTACTTATCTCTTTACACATCCACCCCCTAATTCTGTTGTTATTGAGGCATTGCAGAGTAAAGATTGAAAGGAATGTCACTCAGCTACTCCTGACAGGGCTAATGTTAGGACATTTTTAGCAGCGCCCTTACTCTTCATCTACCTTATCAATCAGTGTAGTAACCAGGCTGGCCTACATGTCTTCATATCAAAAATGTTTATGGGATAAGATTCTGGATTTTATGCCATATTTACCTGATGGACACAAGAATGCAGTTGCTGTCAAGCTACTCAGAATCAAAACATTGTGATGGAGTCTGCATGGGTGCAAAATCCCATTGGTTTGAAGGCACTGATGTCCCATCAAAGAACCACATCTGCACATAAGCAACCTGTTTTTATCAGATCGAATAGTGAGATAAGGCTATACATTATAGACAATAATGCTTCTGCTATGTTGTCTTCAATGCTCAGTTACTTTGCTTACAGCAAGGTGGGGAAGGGGTACCTGTAAACTGTACTGTCCTTGATACCTTTTCTTCCCCATTTCATTTATATGGTTCTCCACTGCCTTCACGTGAAGTTAGTTACAGCTCCCTCAAATATGTGATTTTTGGTCACTGAGACTTTAAATTCCTCTTTTCTGGCTTCTGTTGGCATTCAAGCAAAATATGAAATGATACTAGTTAGCTAATATTAATATGCATACAGTACTGGCTATATCGCATCCATGCTAAAATCTAATTGTCATAATAGATCCCTTTGTTTTACAGGATTTTTGCGTCAGTTTCTAGAAGCTTGCAGTAACGAGGCATTTTTCCGTACTTGTTCAGTGCTTCTTCGCAATCCTAAACTGGATACGCAGATACTGGAAAAACTCAGCATTCTACTGCAAAAGCTCTCCAAAATTAAGTGAGTCTTTAATCTTTGGAGAAATGTAGCTGATTTTCAAAAATCTATCATTTTTTGTGGGTCAAGTCAGAATTTATGCACCATAGAAAACAACCTGCTTTGAAACTAATTAGAAAGCAGGCACGGAGGCTACAAAACAGGTCAGACTGCAGTCATGGTGGGGCAAAAAAACAGCGAAGTACAGATACCTGAAAAAGTATAGGCGGATAGAGTCTCAACTGGAATTGTGACCAGCCAGCCACAGTATTCCAGATCCCTTTTAGGATGGCTTTGTCAATATCATTTCAAATCAAGGTTTTCCAGACCCCTTTTCTACTGAAGTCCCATATCTCTTCCCTTGGGAATCTAGGAACACTTCATTAAATGCGTGGGGAAATTGGGAGGGCAGAGTTACACAGCCTTGATTTATATTAATGCACAACATTCTGAACAATGACCAAAAGAAAATAAAGTCATGAAAAATATATGTGGTATATTTCTTTTTGTCTTCTTCCAACCTGCCCCTCCCCTCTCCAGCACACAGGCAGCCATACACTATCTGTTGATGACAAACAATAGCAGCCAATTCTCCTTTGCAATAGTTCCAAAATTCTGGTCCCTAAATATTGTTTGGCCTCAACTCCTAGAAACTCCAGTCAGTAATCAAGGATTCTGGTCTGGGTGATGTAATCATATGACATCTGACAATTTTATAAATGTTGATCCTAGTTTAATTAATATGGCTCCATCCTGTGGAATCCAGGGATTTGGGATATTGTGAGATATTTTGAATTCCCTACAAGAGATCACGCAATACCTTCCCAAATTAGAAATCTCAGGATTCCACAGGATACAAGTGGGTCATTTACAGAAGTATCAAAATGGTGTATTATGAAAGAGACCCAAGATTGGGAACCACAGTTGAGGGATAGTCAAGCTAATATTTCTTTACTGCATAACATTCTTTAAAAAAATCTTTTTCAGGAGCAATAAGAAGATGTTTGAGCTGTTTACTATTCACCTGATGATTCAAGAGCTACAGAGGACAGCACACCCAGATCATGCTTTTTTATGTATTAACCTCAATTCAATTCTCTTTAATTTGGGTTTGACAAAAAGCCACAATCTTTCAAATAGTCTAAACCAGCAGCAAGGTGCATTGAATTGATATTTGTTTCTTCTAGCTAATCTAATAGATCATTTGAAACACAAGTAGAGTCTTTTTAAGGGGGCCTTACTATATTAAACAGACTATTGATTGTTTTACCTTTCTGTAAACATTTTTATAAGATTTACAACATGGTCTTGATTCTCCAGTTCTCTGAATCAATACGGAGCATCCTTATAATAAAGTAGTCCTTTACCTGGTAAGACAAAGATGATTAAATGTTGTAGCCTGGGAATCTGGAGCAGGGTGTGTGTGCACTGAATAGTCAGTCCTATTTGCTGAAAAAATCCTCAGCACTAAATGAGAGGATATTCCAACAGTTCCAGTAATAACTCAGAATCTTTGGTCAGCCTCTTGTGAAGAAAAGACAGAAGTGATTGGCAGAGAAGCCTTGGAAAGATGGTTTGAGAGCATCTCATCAGCCTCCTACCACAAGGGGATTGCTTTCTGAAGTTCTCAGGGATATTGCCGCTATCTTCACTGGCTTCTTTAGTAATCCCATCCTTAAAGCTTTATCTCTGAATTCCCATAATAGAAATGCATTTCATTTGATATGAGAACTTTTGCAAAGTATTCTAATTTCTGTATATTTGGCAGGGAAAACCCCAGTTACTGAAATCAAATTCTGAAATAATTTGACCCTGATCTATGTTATTTTGCTTCCATTCTCCAGCAGGGACAAAACATACATAGGTGCTGCTGTGTATTGGTCCCACAGCTTTTTCTAATAGATATTCTAATTTCTGCTGTACCAGAAGAGCAAATACCCAGTTGTTGATAAATGAATAATTATGTGACCATCAGATATTGCTAGAGTTCATCTCCCAGCATTCTTCCTTGTAATGCAGCCATCACTGGAGAGCCATGTGATTTTCACCCTTGATTTGTTTACTTAAAATATCTGTAATTTTCCTGTCAACTTTATGTTTAAACTTTTTTGCCATACATTAAAAATATAAATATAATTTTAAACTGTGGAGTTGTGTTTAATTTTGTATTTGTTGAAATTTTATTATAGAATAAATTGAATGAGTACATTGTCACGGGTAAGTTTTTTCTGAGTCCTGCAGTATGAGGTTGACGGATTATCCTACACTATCATTTTAGTATAGGATATATAAGTTTCTTCTTTGTGGTCTCTGAATCACCTAATTGTGTGAATTCACACATTACCACTTGAAGAAATTCAAGGCCCTTCCACATAGCCATATAATTCAGAATATAAAGGCAGGAAATTCCACAATATCTTCTATGAATTGGGTTATCTGAGTCAACACTGCCATATATCCCAGTTCAAAGGAGAAAATGTGGGATTTTATTCAGTTGTGTGGAGGGGGCACATTTACAGGTAAGCAACCTGTCCTTATTCCTTCTACCAATTCTTGAGTTTGTAGGATTTATAAAATTGGTAATTCTGTTTGAAATCTGCCCTATTCTGTTACATATGTTGTATCTAGAACTGTCATTCAGAGAAGACTGTGAATACAAATTACTAAAAGATTGGTTCATTTCAAATGTGCATGGATTGTTATTTTTAAAATTCCATATAAAATTTTCTAAAATTGGAAGCATCGAAGGCAAGCCTACATTGTCCTGAAACTACATAACATTTCTACCAATAAAATAAAATTAAAATACCCTCCATTATTCTCCTAACAGTTGGTGTTTCTGAGCAATATCTTTTTCAAGCATTGCAAAAGCAAAAAGGAAATGGCATTTCAGTTTCTAAAAGTTAAAGGAACTGATAGCTGAAGAAAATACTTGTGGGACAAAAATGAGATTATAGATGGGGGGGGGTGTGTCTTAGTTTTGCTAATGATGACTACGTTGTACTCTGCATATCACAGAGCATGTGTTTTTTTCTGTCAAGAGATAGATACATTCTTTTGATTTACCGTACATTTTTTCAACACTTTTGTTTTTAAAATGAAGGGAAACATGTCAATGAAAAGACATTGGATAATTTCAGTCTTTCTACTGCAAAAGGTGGTCTGCCTCCATAAACTCAAGAAATCAGTCATAGATTTCATATGCTTTGTGCAAACATTCTTGAGAGTGGCAATTTGCATTGTGGGATGATTTCAGTTCAAGCCCACATAGGTGGAAAACCAGAGGCATGCTTACTTAAGTGGCTTATTTTTCCATTTCATGCATGTGGGTAACTTCCATAAGAAATATTTTGTATGTGAATACTGAGCTAATTTTTTCCATTACTTAAAGTTTATGAGACTGACATACAATTATGAGTATAAATGTAATTGTGCCGCCCACTTTCTAAAACTAAAACTTGTGCGCCAGCTGCGCCCGTACCTTGGGAAGTCTGACTTGGCCACGGTGGTCCACGCTTTGGTTACATCCCGTTTAGATTACTGCAACGCTCTCTACGTGGGGTTGCCTATGAAGACTGCCTGGAAGCTCCAACTAGTCCAACGTGCGGCAGCCAGAATGCTAACACGAGCAGGGTACAGGGAGCATACTACTCCTCTGTTGCGCCAGCTCCACTGGCTGCCAATTAGCTTCCGAGCACAATTCAAAGTGCTGGTGTTAACCTATAAAGCCCTAAATGACTCCGGCCCAGTTTACCTGTCCGAACGTATTCTCCCCTATGAACCATCTAGGTTGTTAAGATCGTCTGGAGGGGCCCTGCTCTCGGTCCCACCAGCCTCTCAGGCGCGTCTGGTGGGGACGAGGGACAGGGCCTTCTCGGTGGTGGCCCCTCAACTCTGGAACTCTCTCCCACTGGAGATCAGAACTGCCCCCTCCATTCTGTCATTCAGAAAACGGGTGAAAACCTGGCTATGGGGTTTGGTTTTCAACGAGTGAATCAATATTTCTGTGATTGGATAGATGACGATGAATGATGGACAACGAATTCACTATGACGACTGACCATTGTTATTATGTGATTGCATTTCGCTATTATAACGTTTTAATTGAACATGTCGTATGATGTTTTTAATGATTGTTTTGTGATTTTACTGTTGGAAACCGGCCCGAGTCCCCCTTTAGAGGGGAGAAGACCGGTATACAAAATTGCTAAATAAATAAATAAATAAATTTCTAAAATGGAGGTGCAAGGATATTATTTCTGTACTGTAAGCACACAGCCTGGGACAAAGAACAATAAAATGGCTAATATAGTGATTGGAACATGAATATATATATGTAATTAAACACTGAGTAATAAAAGCTGTAGCATTTGGAGGTCTTTTTGAAACCTAATACCTTCTGTGTGTGTCACGTCTTGTTTGGATGCCATCAGTGCTAATTATAATATGAAGAAAGAGATTGAAATGCCACTACCCTTTACAAAAAGCAGGAAATGCTTTTATGGCCACTGGGCTGTGGAGGTGTGGAAGAAGACATGTGCCCACTTCTCTTGTGCCACGCTCATACTTACTGCCTTGTGTCTGCCACTGTAGCACCTTGTTTTACCCAGATTGGATAATAGTGAACAAAGATTAAAGATACCCCCCAGCTTCTGCCAACCTAACAGTTCAAAAACACGCAAATGTGAGTAGATAAATAGGTACAGCTCCGGGAAGTTAACAGCGCTCCATGCAGTTATGCCAGCCACATGACCTTGGCGGTGTCTATGGACAACGCCGGCTCTTCGGCACAGAAATGGAGATGAGCACCACCCTCCAGAGTCAGATACAACTGGACTTAATGTCAGGGGACAACTTTTTAACCTTTTATATAACTTTTTAGTCTATACACACATACTGTTCTTATAACCTACAGGAGCGAGGAGTAACAACCATGAGGGCAGGCCAATAGGCTATGTGAAGAGGATAGCTAAACCGCATCCATAAAATTGGCTGTTTTATTAGATGTCTCAAGAAAAGCCTAAGAAATCATCAGGCCAAGTTGAGGGAAAGGGCATCAGCTCTCCCCCCCTCCCCCCCCTTAAACATCTGAAAAAACACATGGATCCAATCTTATTTGTTCTGGCCTCTCTACTCTTACTTCCTTCCTACCCAACCTTGCCTTGTTGCGCTCCTCCATATTTCCACATTACCTTTGTCCAAGACTCTTCAAGGTAGTCCATCCAGTTTGGGCATGCAGTTAGATCTCTTTGTGGTAGCGCCATGTTACCAGTCAGGAAAGGGAAAATTTACTTAATAGTGTTAAAACCGCAGCAGCATAGGAACATTTAGAATACGGCCAATCTGTGAAAAACAATACAGTGGGAGCTGCATCAAAATTATGCTTATGTTGCAGGCAGCATTCATTCAAAATCAAGGTGATCGGTGAAACTGTTTAGGAATTCCATTGTGCCTTATGATTTATTTTACCGTTTAAGAAAGATAGGACAGATACACACAGAGCAGATCTCATTTAGAATAAAAAGAATTAAAAATTGCTTCCATGTACTACCATTTCCTGTTGTCTGATGTGTGTTTCAACACTTTGAAGTACTTTGTAATCGATAGCAGCAGGCTTCAAAAGGAGTATCAGGGCACCTGAGCAACGGGGATTGGTTTCAGAAGGAACTGGTGTCTTATTCAGAACAGGTTTCTGCATGGTGGCTTGTGTTTGCATCCTGAACAGAAAGTTCTTTGATTCTTAAAAGTACAGGAAGCAGGGTTTTTTGTAAAAAAAAAAAATCTGCCCCTGTATTTCTAATTATGTAGATTACTATATCACATCTGGCTTCACACCAATGTAGCCAAGTTGTAGGACAGTAGACATTTTCTGCTTTGGCACTTTACAAAAGAGTTTTTATATGACAGCAGTATTTAAAACTACATCTTGTATAGAGCATAATAACCTCCATCTTGCTTTATGTAACTAGTGAAATCAATAAGATTCTGCTGAATGAAAAAGATGCTATGGGAGAAAAGCAGGATATAAATTGAATAAACAAAATTAAAAAGGAAAAGCTGTTTTGGAAGTCTGTTCTGGTCTGTCATACCATTACCTCCTTGTGCCACATTGCTCTTTCATTGCCATGTATAAATATACGAGGGGAGTCATAGGGAGGAGGGAGCAAGTTGCTTTCTGCTGCCCTGGAGACTAGGACACAGAAAAATGACTTCGAACTACAGGAAGGGAGCTTCCACCTGAACATTAGGAAGAACTTTGTAATTGTGAGAGCTGCTGTTCATCAGTGGAACTCTCTGCCCCGGAGAGTGGTGGAGACTCCTTCTTTGGACGCTTTTAAACAAAGGCTGGATGGCCATCTGTCAGGGGTGCTTTGAATGTGATTTTCCTGCTTCTTGGCAGGGGGTTGGACTGGATGGCCCACAAGGTCTCTTCCAACTCTGTGATACTATGACAGGAATCCTTATTCTGTCCCATTCATTCTGAAATTGAAACAAAGAGTCCTAGAGAAATAAATATGCTCTTCTACAGTCCCCTGTTATTTAAAATTATATGAAGTAATGACAGAGGTCCTTCTTTATGACCTATGGAGAATTTTATACTGTGGTAGAAGTCCTATTCCATGTAAAAGTAATATAGCCACCACTTATTTAGAGACCTTAGTGTGGCTGGTATTGAAAAACGGGCTGATGCTATCAAGACCCAGAAGCCTCAGTGAAGCCAAACACAGAGTAAAAGGTCCAAACACAAGTTTATTGTTCACAACAGAGTCTTTGAAACACTTAAATTCAGTGCCTCAAGCTCAGCCAACAAGTTGGCATCAAAAACAAGATGATATGAGCAACTGAAATATAACCCGGATTATCCTGGCGTTTTAATCCGGTTTAACACAAAAATGCAGCAATTTGCTTTAAACTCACACAGTTCAAAAAACACAATAAGCAGAGATGAAAAGCAGAGTCCAAAAGACGTTCCAAGGTCGTGGCACGAGGTAGGCAAGTTGTGTAAGTCTAAGAAGCAAAAACGTTGTCCGAAACGGTCCGGAGTCAAAACGGTAGAGCAGCAGTCATCATACACAGAATCACAAGAAGAAACACAGAAATGCTGGAACACAGGAATCTGTAGTCCAAGGACTCAAGCACAAGAGTTGGCAGGAACAAAGATTCACACCCCAAAAGAGACACTTTGCCTTCTACAAAGATCCATACAACCAAAACCCATTTTTATCCTAAAGTTCCTTATCAGAAACTGAGGAGCTCCCCACCCTTTCATCATCGCTCTCAGCTGCCCCATTCCCTGCAGCTGAACCCGAGCGCCCATCCCTCCACCTCTGCCAGCATCTGTCAAGACTTAGATCTTGCCAAGTGCTTCCTGGTTGCCAATCTCCTGTAAACCCCTCGAAGTCTTCGCTGGAGGTAGGTTGGTTACAGATATCCCTAATTTCTTGTACACGGGTCCAATCAAGCTCATCCTCCTCCCCCGTGTCACTCCCAGACCTATCACTCCCTTCAAACCCCATGAAGTCCTCGTCTTCTGTAGGAGCGCTAAGTATATCACGGATATGCTTCCTTTGAGTCTCCTCTTCGGACTCTTGTTCACGAGTAGCCCGCTAGACTCCCCTACTTTCCTCCCCATCCACCATCTCACAGTTGGAGAAGCCCTCAAAGGTTTCAGAATCACTTGGAGCCATGATTATCTCTCTAATCCGCTTTCGCTGCTGCTCCTCTTCCAACATCTGCGCAGCCCTCTTCTTCCTTCTACCAGTAGTAGCAACGTTACCATCATGCTGAACTACAACAGATGCTCAGTAAGGAGCAGGGCCACATTGCAGATGGTTTGAGTTCATAAAGGAAGCAATAGTTAGCAAGAGCTGATCAGGGCTGCTGGTGACAGGGCTCTTGGGGGGAGCGGGTGTGTGTCTCATTTACAGGATTGCCATAATTCAAAACTGACTTAACAGTCAGTATAATAAAAATATCTAATCTAGTTAAACATTTCAGTTGCAGTTCTTGTCTAAATTGATGAAAGAAATTCTGTTTGGCATCACAAATTTCCCAGCCCACATTGACTCTGCAGTGATACCCTAAATACCACAGACATCAAACACATCATGGTGAGATTGCCATAACCAACCAAATATTTACCTTGTGAACTCTCCTTACTCTTAAGCAGTGGTTCTCAACCTGTGAGTCCCCAGGTGTTTTGGCTTACAACTCCCTGAAATCCCAGCCAGTTTACCAGTTTTTAGGATTTTCGGGAGTTGAAGGCAAAACATCTGGGGTCCGACAGGTTGAGAACCACTGCTCTTAGGATCTGCTCCCATTTCCAATGAGTTTCATTTTCAACCACATTCTTGCATTGCTCTTTTTTTCTGACATACATACAAAAAATTGATTCACTTAAAGTAAAGGCAAATGTTTTCCCTTGACCTTAAGATTGGGGGCGGGGGGGGAGGGGGGACTCTCCATTTCGAAGCCGAAGAACCGACATTGTCCATAGATGCCTCCTTGGTCATGTGGCTGGCATGACTGAATGGAGCACCGTTATTTTTGCTAATAATATGCAAGTATTAAACCTGTAAGTCATTGATTTTTATAGTTTTAAATTGTTTTTATATGAATTTTATTATGTGATTTAACCTGTTTTAAACAATGTATTTATGTGTGTTCGGCATCTAATTGTTGCCAGTCTGTACGCCCCCTGAGTCGCCTTCGGGCTGAAAAGGGTGAGATAAAAGTGCGGTAAATAAATAAATAAATATTCACACAGATCAACCTTTTTAAAAATTCAGTACAAGGAAAGAACCACTTCCTGGCAGAAATGATTACCTCTTCCCAAGTAGTTCCTCCCTTCAAGTCCAAAGTGAAGTTATGCCCTATGGAGGGTTGACCATACCCTCAAAATCCAGATTTTCTATACAATGAGTAACAGGCAAGGAATTTTGATCCAGATTTAATACATAGATTCTTTTTGGAAAAGTTATTTACTAAAAGTTCAACCTTAAAAAAACAAACTTTTGATCTGCACGTTTTGTCATCCTGGCATCAAAAACACCATTGATTCTTGAATTTGTGCTAGAATAATCAGCCATACAAATGTGCCCTTCTATAATTTATAGTTACTTAGCAATTCCATTTTAGCTATGATTTACTTTCTCTTTTAAAATTTTCATAGTATGCGTTTAACAATAAATTAATAGGAAAAGTTTAAGCAGATGCATTTAACTGAACACTCTGGAA